ACCACCATACCTTTCTACAGGCGAGGTGTTACATATGACACTGATGATTTAACAAGAACAGTAACCAAATACAATGCAGTTCCTTTCAGAAAGGAGGTCTGTGTTTTGGATAACAGGCAAAAAGCAGGATAAAGTACTATGCAAATCCTTTGTGTACTGGGATAGCTAATGACCAGCTGTCAGAACTAAAAGACAGCAAAAGCTTATTGCTAAAATTTTTGTCTCAAATAAAAAAAATTATTGAGAAAATCATACTCTCTAACTTGTAGGCAGGCTTTACTAGATTCTCATCTGCCTATTTTCACTGGGAGAAAATGAGAAGAGGCTTTATTTCAAGAACCATAAAAACGTAAAATTAAATAATTACACATTTTAGAGTTGGTCAAAAATCAACATTTTGGGTGAACAGTAAATGTCTTGGTTTTAACTTTGAACCTAAAACTAAAAAGCCTGCCAGTATTCAAATATACCATAATACAATGGACTATTAAATTAATTCGTGTCTGTCTTAGAAGCTAGATAATATTCACAAGCAAATAACTATACAAATATATATATTATGTCACTGTCCTCCCGTTGTTCATCAATTTTCTCGAGCAGGCCCAGTAACATCTCCATTATGAGACTTTTATTGTTACTGTGTTTGGCGTATGGAATTCGTCACGGGTTCTTGCCAGGCTTTGCCGTGCGGGCGAGATACTCTCAGTAGCTTGCCGGGCTCTCTGAGAGAGGCAGAGGAATTGAACCCGGGTTGGCCATGTTGGCCGTGTGCAAACCAAACGCCCTACCCACTGTGCTATCGCTCAGGCCCATATATATGTATTTACTGAATATTTACAATAACCAAGAAAAGAAATGTGTTTTTAAAAATTTCATTAGCTACAGAAACAAAAGCCAAAATATACCTTGAAAAGACTAACAGAAGAAAAAGAAAGCTCTTGGGGCAAGAAAGTACAGGGATTAAGGCACTTGCCTTGCCTTATATGCATCCAGTCTTCCTTTGATCCTTTGATTATGTCCCCTGAGCCCCATCATCAGGAGTAAGCCATGATTACAGTCAGCAGTGGCCCCAAGACCCCCCAAAATGAAAAATCTCTTTACTGAAAAACATAAAACTGAATAAAGTAGTTTCAAATTATTACATTTAAGACTAGAATTCACTTAGGAAATAGCAGAAAACAAATCAACTTTGTTGATCATATCCCAAGCAAGAGGGGTTTTTGGGTTTAGTTTGTTTCATGGGTCATACTCAGCAGTACCCAGGGCTTACTCCTGGCTCTGAGCTCAGGGATGATTCCTGGCAGAGGTTGGGGGACCATTTGGGAGGGTGCAAGGCATTGAACTCAGGTTAGCTACATTTCAAGGCAAGTGCCCTGCCTGTTATACTATCTCTCCAGTCCCTCCTACGCTGGAGTCTTTAAATACACTTTTACAAAATGACTGGTTAATATTCATCTGCAAATAAAGGCAAATGAAAAAATAATGAAGTGTGGCTTGCCATGTTATACGTTCAACCCATATTAAAAAAGACCTCACACTTAAAACTAAAATTATTTTCAATCCACAATGACATATTTTTTGTATCAGTGAGTTTTCAGTATTTTTTAAAAGACTGAAATATATGATTCTAGGCTTTTTTAAAAGGTGTAAATTTCCAGTTTTACTAGGATCAGATTAATGTACTTAAGTATTTAAGTTGAGGCTGAATAGCAGAACTATTTAGTCTATAATCTCAGTTCATTGCCTCCATCCCCTTCATACTTTTATATTAAAACAAATTTGAATTTGAGAATCAATACCATTGCATCAAAAATAATTAAAACAAAAAGGTGCAGGCAAAGAAATTTTTTTAAATGGGTTGTTCGAAAAAGAGAACAAAACCATTATTATTACTAATAATGTTAACTGCTGTAGTTCACAGTGTGATGGGGAAAGACAAAAATCAGACCTCTTTCTTCATATAACAAAATTTAATTCCTGTGACATCTGAATTAATCTTTCTTGACTTATAAACCCAGAAGTTTTAAAAGAAAAATGACAGATCTGCTCACATTACAAAAATGTCACAGACAAGCAATAGACTCTGAGGGACAAAAGTCAAGAGCCCCTCAGAGCATCTATCAAGTCAGCATATGAACAAACAAATTCACTGGGAGAAAATGCTAAGAGGCTTTATCTCAAGAATCATAAAAACATAAAATTAAATAATTACGTATTTTAGAGTTGATCAAAAGTCAAAATTGAAACCAATCTAGTCAGTGTATTTGAAAAAATAGCATATTTACTTAAGTTGCATACAGCCGCACAATCTTACAAAAATACCATTCGGCAATTTCAACAAAGTTTTTAAATGTGCATATCTAACTATCTAACATCACAAACCTACAAAATCTGTCTATATGTACACAAAACATTAATATGTAGGAGTTTAACAGCAAATAACTGTAAACTTAAATATCCATTCATCAAGAGTTAATAAAACCCTGACACAACCTTTCCTATAGACAGGACTACTGAACTTTAGACCAAAAGTGGAAAGATCTCCAACATACAAAATATCAAAAAGCACTGTGCATAATAAAATTCCATTTTTAAAATATGTATGTAACCAAGCCAGAGAGATAGTATATCAGATAAGGCATTTGCCTTCAGACGGCTAACCTGATTTCATTACCCAGCAAGAAATATGATCTATGCCCTGAGTATTCCCAGGAGTGATCCCTGAGCACAGAGCCAGAAGTAAGCACAGAGCACCACTGGGTGTCCATTTCCTTCCCTGTCCCCACAAGGGAGAGATAGAGGGTTAGAGCAGAAAGAGAACTATTATATCGAAATATAAAGACAGCAGTTTATTTTATGACTTTTGGGAAGAAATAGATCCCAAACCTGGGAGAGAAGCAAAACTCAAAATTTATCTAAAAGATATTTGTCCAGTATTTTGGGGGGCAGGGGGAGGAGGGTTGTACAGTAACTTGTACATTCAACACCATAAACAAAACCTTTATAATAACCACATTACCTAAATTATAATTTTTTTAAGGGAGGGAGAAAAAATAGTTATCTGGACAACTAACAATGAAGCACTGAAAAACAAACAGGACACATCAAAAAAAGTGAGATCAAAGAAATTTTTGGTGGCCAAATTTTAGGCAAATAAAGTATCAAAAAGACCGATTCTTTAGGTGTAGTTTAAACAATCTTTCATGAAGCACAGTGATAAGAGTCAAGAGTTTTAAAAACTTCTAGGACATGGGGCCATAGAGAGTTCACAGGGTAGAACAGTTGCCTTGCATGTGGCCAACCAAGATTCAATCCCACCATCCTGAGCACCACCAAGAGTAATTCTTGAGTGCAGAGTCAGAAGTTACCCCTGAGCACTGCCAAGTGTGCACCCCTCCCCCCCAAAAAAAACCAACAAAAACAACCAAACTTCTGTGCCATTAAAAAAACATTCAAAGAAAGAACAGAAAAAATAGAAATGGGGTTAGAGAGACGTCTTGCACTTGCCGTATATGTGGTCAATACCATCACCATTCTATCACCATATGGCCCTCCAAGCACGAACAGAAGCAATCCCACATATGAAAAACTAAGAGTAGCCCCTCAACACTGCCAGCTGTAGGCCAACCCCAACCCCTACCTCCTCACACACACATGCAAAAAAATAAAAGCAGAAAACAAGATAAAAGGTAGACCAGATAATTGTTCTAGTGACCAAGTACAAAATGCACCACCGTCTCATTCAAGACAGATGCACAGATGCACGAGAAAATATTCTCCCTGTAGGTACTTGTACTGGCACAAGCACATCCTGAGATCTTGAAAATATCACCAGTAAACACTTACCCCCAAAGCATACACGAAGAATAAAGTGAAGAACAACCAGTGCACTAGTCCAGATTCACTGGATTCTCAACAACTGAGTTACTCTCACTAATGAAGTGACAAACTGCACTCAAGCCTCTCTGTGCTGGAGAGTCCATTTCAGGACTCATCAAAATTATAAATCACTTCTGTTATGAACCTTCAGTATTCCTAGAAAGTCAAACCTGCAAATACCACAATTATAGTTGGATAATTGGATAAAACAGTTGAACTGGGTGCTCTATCGTGAACATTTTTGACTGCAAAAAAGGGCACTTCAGAAGACACTTTGTGACTTTAATCACAAAAGGTTCATATTTCAGTCAAAATGAGCATCTGAAAAGGAAAGTTTATGTGGCATTTTTATCAGTTTGTTCTCAAATTCTACTAGATGTCAACAAGGAAAACTGTGCTTAACAAAAAAGTGTGTGTTGGGAGTAGGGGCAGTGAGTAAAGGTAAATTTCATTAAAAATTTACGAAGGCATAATAATAAAATGCTTTTATACTAGCATACATTTAAGAAATATCCTAAGAACTTCATAACAATTCAGTCATTCTTACCTTTATAGTCTTAAAAATATCTTAAAATTAAAAAGCAGGCCATACTCCCAACATTCGTAACAGAAACAAGAAAAATACACTTACACTATGGGTTTTCTATATGTAATTATGTAGTTCATCTCTAATTAAAATGTAAGACAAACCTAAGCAAAAAAGTAATAAAGTGACCAAAGAGATAAATACATAAAAGCCAGTGAAGAAATTTCAGAAATAACCAAGATAATGCGCTTTGTACTCCCGATGATAAAATGTCCTCTCCTTGACACTATCATTTAAGGATACTAAATGAAAGAAAATACTTATGAGTTCTAATCCCCAAAACTCTAACTGAAATACATTCTTCCATCCTAAGGAGACTGCAATTTTTCCAACAGTTCTTTAAGCATTAATAGTAATTGTTATCTTGATCCATACGTGCTCCATTTCTTAAGACATACACAGAAGAATTAATTCACTTACAGACTTTTTAAAAACAAGGCTTTTTTTGGGGGGTGAGCATCAAACCAAAAATTTCTCACTTCAAACACGTATTTTTTTTTCTTTAAGCAATTATGGCAAAATACGCTGCACTTACCTATCAGCATCTTTATCTTCAGGCAGCATGGGAGGTAAAGGTAAAGGTGGTAATGTAGAGGTCACTAACGCCACATGTTGCTCCTTCTCCTTGGCTCCAACGCTTGGTGTAAGTGGTTTGGTTTTCTCTTTAAGAGATATTGGTTCCTCCTTTGTAGCAGCAGATTTACTCTCCTTCCCAAGGACAACTGCTTTTTTGGTAGCTTTATCTACAATCAGATTATTGTCCACCTTTGTTACCTGAAGGGGTGGCTTTGTTTTCGCCTTGTCATTTTTTAAAGTTCCACCACTCGAGGGAGAGGGTACATGCTCAACTTTAAGTTTCTTCACATCTTTCACATGGTTGGTTTGGGAAGCGACACCCGATTCTGTGTTCCCCTTGGTAGGCGTGGAAGCACTGGAGGCTTTGGCAGCTTTGGCAGCAGCCTCAGCAGCCTTAGCTGCTTCTGCAGCTTTTGCTGCCTCTGCAGCTCTGGCTGCCTCAGCGGCCCGGGCTTTTTTATTCTTGTTTAATTCAGCTGCCAGGCTACTCTTGAATGTTAGTGTGCTAGGAGAAATGCTAGAATGACGACTTCTTGATCTAGACAATCTATGTCTGCTACGAGATCTTGAATGTCTAGATGAATATGGGCTTCTGCTTCTGGATTTGGCAGATCGTCTGATGAAAAATAATTAAGATTTTAGTTAGTCATTTAGAGAAATTTATAAAAATTGCAAACTCGAGGTTATAAAATAATTTAACTTCAAAATCATAATACTCTTTCTGTTGGAAGTAACATTTTAAAAAGCAAAAGTATTAAGTATTATCTAGAGGTTAAAGTTCTCTTGAAAACTCATGGACTTTTTTTGATCTTGGTCTGGTCTAACAAAGGAGAGGCTTGATAAAAGTAGGTATCTGTGAGAAGAAATACTCTAAGAACTGGGAGGGAAAAAAATGCAACAAGGAATCATAGTTATGCTCTAAAATCTTAGCAGACAAGAGAGTTACACTGGCAGTAGTAGTAACAGGATGCAACCTACCCAATCTTTTATTGAGGAGACAATCTCTACCTTTCAAAATCACCCTCATACATCAGCTCAGAAATAGTGCCCTGACTATAGCAATATCGAAAAGATAAAATACATCATTAGACAATAAGTAAAAAGAGACTAACTCTTGAAACTATTTACTGCAATAATAATTAGTGTACTTCACTTTAAAAAAATAATTGGTGCCTCATATGTGAAGTCTGGGTTTCAAAGCCTGACACCAAAATAAAGCAACAAAAAAAGTGACCATTAGGAAATACAGAAACATATTTAAAGATACAATTAAAGTTCCTATAAAGCAAATACACCTCAACATCAATGAGCTTTTCAAATGCATGCCTTATCAAGACGTATAGAAAACTTGCCCAGATTCAATCAGTGGCAGCACGTATACGAGCTCCCAAGTCCACTAAGTGTGAACCTTGAGCACAGAGCCAGGAATAAGCCCAGAGCACCACTAGGGTGTAGCAAAAAAAAAAAAAAAAAAAAAAAGGCAGAAAAAGAAAGGAAAATACCCTGTGGGTTCCTCTATCTTTAAGTATTTCATTAAAGTCTCTTGAACCAACCACCTGAGTTGTATTTCATTCCTTCCATTTCTAGATCAGAACCTACTTTTATTTCTAGATCAGAACCATACCTGATCTAGATGAGTGCCATATCTTAACTCTTATCTTTGACATAAATGTAGTTAACAGTAGTAACAAAGTTTTAAGGAAGGGGTTCTTGCTGAAATTTTCTAAGTTACAGGAAGAAGGTAAATAAAGAAAAAATACTTTTAGGAACCCATAATTGAAATACTAGAGAGAAAGGGAAGAAATGTACATTTTTCTTTATATCTGACCTTAAGAGTATGAAGGGGAAGGTTTAGAATATTATTCTTGTATGATAAACAAAATAATATTAAGTTTAGAATTTTCACATTCTTTCAAAAATATATACTAACATATACTAAGGATCAACTACTATTCAGCATCCAGTTATTGTTTTCATACAAAACCCTTTCTTCAGAAAAGCATTTATTATGTGACATTACCTAAGATTAATGGGAACATAGGTTAAGAAAACATTAAACTCCTTACTATTCAATATTCATATATTCCAATAAAGTAACCAATAAATTACAATATTCATGGAATGTTTAACTCAATATAAATGAAGTTGATTACATCCTAAATAACTTCAATACAGGTACTAAGTATATCATAATATGAAATTGTCAACACACTTGTTTGTACTGTTTCGGGGGAAGGATTGTTGGTTTATACCAACTACTAAAAGCAGGGCCTTGCAAAACATGCAAAAGGGCCTCTTCTACATCCAAAGCTTAGTCAAATCTTTCATTTCTTCCCCTTTCAGACTCTTCCTCCTCAAAACATGTCTGGTATTAATTGTAAAATAGATACGTGTGAGTAGCAAAAGGTACTGAAGAGAAAGAAAAAGACTGTCATCTCATCAGAGGTAACAACAAAGAACTTTTCTTAAACTCTTCTACACTAACAAGATTTTGGTTATTAGTTTCATAGAACTGAGAGACTCTTTACATTACATTACTTTACATTAGCTTTACATTACTTTATATTAGCTTTATATTAAAAAAAAGGATATTAGGCAAAATATCAACACAAATTGCTCATTTATTTGCTTCAAGACAAAATCTTAGTAAGAAAGCTATTAGTAAAAACCAACAATCTTTATTATATAAAAAGGATACTTTAAAAGATTTTTAAAGAATTTGATCTCTATTCAGAGTCACACCATCTAAGCCTAAAGTTGCTTACCATTTTTTTTGGATATAGAAACAGCCATTACATGTGATATCCAAAACAATGGCCACTATTCACAGGTTAGCCCTTTTTTCCTACCCTAAATTCACATGCTATTAGTTGCAAATCAGTAAATATGATAAACCACATTAGGAAGATAAGGGATGGGGTCGAAATGTGGCACTACAGCCTCACACAGTTTCATTCCTGGGCTGATTCCTGACAAAGGGAGAAAAAAAAGTAGTGGGGAGAGATAAAAATAAAATAAGATGACCATCACAACAGACAAAGAAGAAAAGCACTTGACAACATTTAACATTCCTTGATGATAAAAACTCAACAAAGAATAACACAGTAAAGGGTTAAAGCTTTTCCTCTAAGATTAGCAGCAATGAGAAAGATGCCCAATCTTGACTATCCAACAAAGCCATGCGTTAACAACAGAGACCCATCTGAGAATGTAGTTATACAGAAGTCAAGTTGACTTAGAAACCTGGACAGTACAGTCTATTGCACACCAAGGCTATATAAGTAGGGACTTTTTATTGTCCTCGTTTATAGTACTATTCATGCCATTGTAGTACTATTTTTGTGTTTCATCATTAGCATAGTCTTGAAGCACATGACTATATTGGAAGTCCTAACGAAATTAATCGAGCCAGAGAAAGATAAAACAACAAAATAAGGACAGGAAAAATAAAATCATTTCTTTGCAGATACTATAATCTGAAAAACCTCAGACATTATAAAAACTTGTTAGCACTAATAAACTAATTCGATAAAGCCATAATAGCACTGTAGCACTGTCCTCCCATTGTTCATCGAATTGCTTGAGGGAGCCCAATAATCTCTCCATTGTGAGACTTGTTGTTACTGTGTTTGACATACTGAATATGTCACAGGTAGCTTGCCAGGCTCTGCCGTGTGGGCAAGATACTCTTGGTAGCTTGCCGGGCTCTCTGAGAGGGGCGGAGGAATCGACCCCAGCTTGGCCTGGCCAGCCGCATGAAAGGCAAACGCGCTACCACTGTGCTATTGCTCCAGCAATAATATACAATTTTAACTGATGCAGTTCTACACACTGACAAAGAACTACTGGAAAGAGAAACTATTAATTCCAATCACAAAAGCATCAAAAATACTTGCTAATACATTTAACCAAGGTAGTGGAAGATTTCTCCTTCTCATACACAGTAAGTTACTCAACAACAAGTATCATTAAAATGAACCCAATATAATCTATGATGTTTATCAAAATTCAAATTACAGAATAAAAGTTTTTCTATTTTTTACAGAAACAGAAAAACCAACCCTGAAATCCATATGGCCACAAAAAGTATCCTGATTGACCAAAGCAATCTTGAGAAGAACAAAGCTGGCAGTATCTCTTCTTGAGTCTAAACTGTTTTTCACAAGGCTGCAGCAGTCAAATTACTTGTGAACTATGGGTTTGGGACCGTGGCAGTAACCCAGGTTCTGACCCCAGTTTGATCACTGGCACTGCATGATCTCCCCACCTCCAGCATCACTAATGTGGCCCTAGCGTCCCCTTCCCTGTACTGCAAGGTCCAAGCAGCAGGACATCTCAGGCCATCACAATGACGACTGGACTGGGTGGCTAGTATTACTGAAGCAGCCCCCAGCCCTTCTGAGCATTAAGGTTCTGACATAAAAATAGATATACAGATCAATAAAGCTAGAGAATGTGAAAATAAAACCAAGAACATGTGATCAACTAATTTTCGACAAGGGAGCTTAGGATATAAAATAAGAATAACCTCTTGAAGAGAAGAAGTAAGCCAACTGTACGTCAACTGCAAAGTAAAATGAAACTGCATCCTTATCTTTACCATACAGAACTGAAACAGGAATAGTTTCTTAACTTTGGCAGCAATTTCTGGATTACAAAAAGCAAAGCTAAAAAGGCAAAAAGAAGGAAGACTACATCAAACTAAAAAAAAATACACACAAAAGGGGCCAGAGCAATAGTACAATGGGTAAGGTGTCTGCCTTGCATGCAGCCTAACAGGGTTCAATCCCCGGCATCCCACCGGGAGTAATTCCTGAGTGCAGAGCCCGGAATAACTCATGAGCACTGCCAGGTGTGACCCAAATAGGGAAAAAAAAAATTAAAAAAAATATATATATATATTGCAGGTGCGATCCTCTCTGTAGCTTGCCGGGCTCTCCAAGAGGGGCGGAGGAATCGAACTCGGATCGGCCATGTTGGCTGCCTGCAAGGCAAACGCTCTACCACAGATGACCCTTCATTGGCTATATATCCATAAGAAAACAACTTTTTCAAGAGCTATCTGTAGTCCCATGTTTATTGCAGCACAATTCACAACCACAATACTCAAGGCATGGAAATCTCAATAGTTCATCAACAAACAGATGAAGCAAACATAGTGCGGGTGGGTAAAGTGAGGAGGGAGAGGGAAAGAAGGGAGGTAGAAAAGATAAAGAGGAATACTATGAAGAGCCTTAAGAAGGCTCTTCAAGTCCTTGCTGCAAGCTGTTTCCTTCCTTGTGGATTTTCACTCTGGAGAAGCTCTGTTTTCTCTCTACAAGAACACTATACTCCTCTCTTTCTCTCCCCTCACATCTTTCTAAATACATCTCAATAAAAACTATCTTGCTTCACAAAAACAAGAGAGAGTGAGAGAGAGAGAGAGAGAGAAGAAAAAAGAAGGAAATTCTGCTATTTTCAATACCTAGAGAGTATTATACTAATTGAAATAAACCAAAGACAAATGCTGTATGGTATCGTACTGTGGATAATGAAAGTATGACACATACACGCAATGGAATACTAAAGCTTCAAGGAATGATGAAATCATGCAATTTGTTGCTACTAGGATGTATA